GGCACCATACTCGTCTGACTCTTCACCATAGAGAGCTGGCACTATCCTACTCCTTACCACAGAGTGCTGGAACCATACTCCTCTAACTGAGAACTATAGAGTGATATCTCATTCCCCATCCAACTGCTCACCATAGAGAGCTGACTCCATCCTCATCCAAATCCTCACCATAGAGAGCTGGCATCATCCCCATCCAATTCCTCACCATAGAGAGCTGGCACCATCCTCATCCAACTCCTCACCATAAAGATCTGGCTCCATCCTCATCCAGCTCCTAGCCATAGAGGTTTGGCTCTATCCTCATCCATTTCCTAACCACACAGCTGGCACCATACTCGTCTGACTCTTCACCATAGAGAGCTGGCACTATCCTTATCCAACCCTGACCACAGAGTGCTGGAACCATACTCCTCTAACTGCGAACTATAGAGTGATATCTCATTATCCATCCAACTCCTCACCATAGAGAGCTGGCTCTATCCTCATCCATTTCCTAACCATACAGCTGGCACCATACTCGTCTGACTCTTCACCATAGAGAGCTGGCACTATCCTACTCCTTACCACAGAGTACTGGAACCATACTCCTCTAACTGCGAACTATAGAGTGATATCTCATTCCCCATCTAAACTGCTCACCATAGAGAGCTGACTCCATCCTCATCCAAATCCTCACCATAGAGAGCTGGCATCATCCCCATCCAATTCCTCACCATAGAGAGCTGGCACCATCCTCATCCAACTCCTCACCATACAGAGCTGGCTCCATCCTTATCCAGCTACTAACCATAGTGATCTGGCTCCATCCTCCTCCAACTACAAAACCACAGACAGCTAGCAACATCCTCATCTGGCTCTACACCATAGAGAGCTGACAGCATCCTCATCCAACTCCTCACCATAGAGAGCTGACAGCATCCTCATCCAACTCCTCACCATAGAGAGCTGACAGCATCCTCATCCAACTCCTCAACGTAGAGTTCTGGCTACATCCTTATCCAGCTACTAACCACAGACAGCTGGCACCATGCTCATCTGACTCTGCACCGTAGAGATCTGGCACTATCCTCATCCAACTCCTCACCATAGAGAGCTGACATCATCCTCATCCAATCCCTTACAATAGAAAGCTGGCTTCATCGTCCTCCACTCCTAACTGTAGAATGCTTACTCCATCCTCATCCAGATCACCATAAAAAGAGCTCACTCCATCCCCTCACCTGACCCTTCACCATACACAGAGCTCTTCCCATCCTCATCCAGCTCCTCACCATACAGTTGGTCATTCTGCCCTTATCCATTTCCCCACCATATAGAGAGCTAGCTTAATTCTTCTCCATTTCCTCGCCACATAGAGATTCTTCTCACCATTTGGAGAGCTGATTTCATCCTCCATTGATGCCTCACCATATGAAGAACTCTCCTCCTCCTGTTTAGACTCCTCAAGAACCAAGAGCTCTCTTCATCCTCATCTGAATCTAAAAAGAGAGCTTGCCCCATCTTCTTCCAATCCTTCACTATATAGAGTTTTGGTTTCATCCTTTTCCTGCTTATAGAAATAATAATACTGAAGTTAAAGCCTAAATGAAGACCACCACCTACCTCCTACTTATGTCCGGTAAGTCCACAACCAGCTTCCATAAGCATCCGTTAGTCTGTAACCACCTGGCATTTCCAGGACCCATGACAAAGCGCACATAAAACCCACATTTTGCCAAGTGTTTTGGGAAATGTGTTGCAAACACGTCATGCTTGTGGTGCCATTAATTGGTAATGCCACCCCAAAGCGCAGGTAGCAGGCACACATTTGCCACTCGTTTTGTCTGGCGGCAAACACTACAAATTTGTCAAAATGTGCAGTAAAAAAAAATGTGCCAAGCTCCGTCCCAAAAAAGGTTTTGGAGTTTCTTTGGGACATTAGTTATACATAGTGCAGCCCATTCAAGTGAAAAGGCTGCCCTATGAGCGACAAGCAGAAACACTCCAAAATGCACAGAAAAAAGCAAGCGGGTAAAGGATTTCTATCTCCGCTCAGGTGTGAGCCCAGCCTAAACGGTCATCAGGAGTACAAGCCCCCACATCCCCAATGCCTTGATAACAAAGTGCATGCTCAGCCCATACCAGGATGATGTGGGGGTAATAGTGGGGCTCATGGGGACCCTACAAGGCAGTGTAACCACTCCAAAGATGGAAACAAAGAGAGACACTTAAAAAGCACAATGCAAAGAAGTGACAACATGCAGACAGAAAGCAAAATCCATACATTGTAAGTGCAGTATGCTGTAGTTATACACGGCACATGAAGGTCTCAGAACATTCCAAAGCATCCAGCTTTGCTTACAGCTGTGTTCTGTGTAAAAGAGCTTGCAATCCACAGAGATATCTTTCAGGTGCAGCATCCATGAGCTGAGCATGGCAAGTCTGTCTGGTTAGATGTATAGACGCCGTACATGAACCAACATGCTGGAAGTACATATATGTCAGATACACATTGCTCACAAGGAGGGAGGGACACGCTGCTCTACATGTACAGTTTATTATGTTGTTGTCTGGAACACCTGTACATCCCGTGCAGGAAAAGATGGCTCCATGCACAGGTGTGTGCTTAGCTATGTCCATGTGAATGAGAACAGAAAAGATTATCCACATCAAAAAGTGAATTCAAATCAATTGATTTGTTCTTAAATGTTGATAAGGCCGTGCTTCCTTTATACGTTTATTGTCACGAAATATTTTACCTTCTATATGAATTAAATGTACTACTGTGGTGAGATATTAGAGTGTAAGCTCCTCTGGTACAGAGACTGATGTGACTGTGGGGGAGGGACATTAGAGTGTAAGCTCCTCTGGTACAGAGACTGATGTGACTGTGGGGGAGGGGACATTAGAGTGTAAGCTCCTCTGGTACAGAGACTGATGTGACTGTGGGGGAGGGACATTAGAGTGTAAGCTCCTCTGGTACAGAGACTGATGGGACTGTGGGGGAGGGGACATTACAGTGTAAGCTCCTCTGGTACAGAGACTGATGGGACTGTGGGGGAGGGGACATTAGAGTGTAAGCTCCTCTGGTACAGAGACTGATGGGACTGTGGGGAGAGGGACATTAGAGTGTAAGCTCCTCTGGTACAGAGACTGATGGGACTGGCTCAGTGATCTCTGTACAGCACTGTGGAATATGTCAGAGCTACAGTTTGTGTCCAAAATTATTCAACCCCCAATGCTGTAAAGGGGTTTAGGGACTATAGTGTACATTTGGAATTGTATTCAGAATCAAATCCTACAAGGACGTTGTAACTACCCAAATGCAACTAAAAAAATGACATCAATTGTTTATGTAATACAGTAGTAAATGGTTCTTATGTGTTTCTTCATTGCCACAATTATTCAACCCCTTAAAGACTACCACTCTGAAGAACAAGAGGTTCATACAGTGCTTTCCATCAGGTATTGAAAACACCTGTGGATGTCACCGAGCAGCAATCAAGCAAATAATAAGCACCAATTAGGCAGCTTTAAAATGACTGTGATACTCAGCTCCTTCTAGACATTTACTGGTGTGGTTACAAACATGGTGAAGGCAAGAGAATGGTCCAGGAAGACAAGAGAAGAGGTGATTTCTCTTCACAGGAAGGGCAATGGCTTATAAGAAGATTGCAAAGATGTTAAACATACCAAGAGACACCTTAGGAAGCATCATTCGCAAATTCAAGGCAAAGGGCACTGTTGAAACGCTACCTGGTCGTGGCAGAAAGAAGATGCTGACTTCGACTGCTGTGCGCTACCTGAAGCGTAGAGTGGAGAGAAGTCCCCGTGTGACTGCTGAGGAACTGAGAAAAAAGATTTGTCAGATGTGGGTACAGAAGTTTCAGCCCAGACAATAAGACGCACACTGCGTAATGAAGGCCTCCGTGCCAGAACTCCCAGGCGTACCCCCTTGCTGTCTCCAAAGAATAAGAAGAGTCGACTGCAGTATGCCAAAAGCCATGTGGACAAACCACAAAAGTTGTGGGATAGTGTTCTGTGGACTGATGAAACAAAATTAGAACTGTTTGGGCCCATGGATCAACGCTATGTTTGGAGGAGGAAGAACAAGGCCTATGATGAAAAGAACACCTTGCCTACTGTGAAGCATGGTGGAGGGTCAATCATGCTTTGGGGCTGTTTTGCTTCTGCAGGTACAGGGAAGCTTCAGCGTGTGCAAGGTACCATGAATTCTCTTCAGTACCAGGAGATATTGGATGGAAACGTGATGCAGTCCGTCACACACCTGAGGCTTGGGAGACGTTGGACCTTTCAACAGGACAATGATCCCAAGCATACCTCCAAGTCCACTAGAGCATGGTTGCAGAGGAAAGGCTGGAACATTTTGGAGTGGCCATCGCAGTCACCAGACTTAAATCCGATTGAGAACCTCTGGTGGGACTTAAAGAAAGCAGTTGCAGTGCGCAAGCCTAAGAATGTGACTGAACTGGAGGCCTTTGCCCATGAAGAATGGGCGAAGATACCCGTAGATCGCTGCAAGACACTTGTGTCAAGCTATGCTTCACGTTTAAAAGCTGTTATAACTGTAAAAGGATGCTGTACTAAGTACTAAGATTGAATGTCACTTGGGGGTTGAATAAAACTGATAATGCTGTGAGCACAGAAAAGACATTTGTGGTTATTTCATTATAACTGTTATGTTATATTTGTCTGACCTACAAGTGCCTCTTTAATGTAAATGTAAGCAAGATGACTGAATGATCAAAAGCAATGTCAAACTGGCCAAAACACTCAATTTCAGTGGGGGTTGAATAATTTTGGACACAACTGTATATAAATGTTTAATAATAATAGTGTGTGACTGTGGTGTGTATGCATTTATTTATTATTTAATCATATTTTTTATTTCAGTTTTGCCATTTTCTGTCCTCCCCATTGAAACTGTACCAAACTCTTCAGTTTGCGGGTCTCCGTCGGTGTCCAATCGTATAGTAGGTGGTACAGATGCTGCGGAGGGAATGTGGCCTTGGCAGGTCAGCCTGCGGTATAATGGACGTGCTATTTGTGGAGGATCCCTCATCTCCAATCAGTGGGTGATGTCTGCTGCTCACTGCGTCCAGTTGTGAGTCTTCTCTTTTCCTTAGCATGCAGCGTGCACTTTCTATCTCTTCTTTTTTTTTTCTCTCATCTTTCTCTCTTTCTTGCGCGCTCTCTCTCTCCCTCCCTCTCTCCCCCCCTCATCTCTCTCTCTCTCCCTCCTCTCCCCCTCTCTCACTCTCTCCTCCTTCATCATTCGCATGCTCTCTCCTTCCTTCATTCCTCTCTCACTCCTCGCGCTCTCTCTCTCTCCTTCTCTTCTCCTCCTCTCTTCCCCCCTCACTCTCTTCCCCCCTCCTCTCCTCCCCCCCCTCTCCCCCCCTCTCCTCCTCCCCTCCCCCCCCCCACTCTCCTCCCCCCTCTCCTCTCCCTCCCCCCTCTCTCCCCCCTCCCCCCCCCCCCCCCCCCTCTCTCCCCCCCTCTCTCTCCCCCCCTCTCTCTCCTCCCCCCTCTCTCTCCCCCCCTCTCTCTCCCCCCTCTCTCTCCCCCCTCTCCTCTCCCCTCCTCTCTCCTCCCCCCTCTCTCCCCCCCTCTCTCCCCCCCCTCCTCCCCCCCCCCTCTCCTCCCCCCCTCTCTCTCCCCTCTCCTCCCCCTCTCTCTCTCTCTCCCCCCCCTCTCTCCTCCCCCCTCCTCTCTCCCCCCTCCCCCTCCTCCCCCCCCTCTCTCCCCCCCCCCCTCTCCTCTCCCCCCCTCTCCTCCCCCCCCTCTCTCCCCCCCTTCTCTCTCCTCCCCCCTCTCTCCTCTCCTCCCCCTCCTCTCCTCCCCCCTCTCTCTCTCCTCCCCCCCTCTCTCCTCTCCCCCTCCCCATCCCCCCCCTCTCTCTCCTCCCCCCCCTCTCTCTCTCCTCCCCCCCTCTCTCTCCTCCCCCCCTCTCTCCTCTCCCCCCCTCTCTCTCTCTCTCTCTCCTCCCCCTCTCTCTCTCTCCTCTCCCCCCCTCTCTCTCTCTCTCCTCTCCCCCCTCTCTCTCTCTCCTCCCCCCCTCTCTCTCTCCTCTCCCCCCCTCTCTCTCTCCTCTCCCCCCCCCTCTCTCTCCCCCCCCCTCTCTCTCTCCTCCCCTCCTCTCTCTCCTCTCCTTCCCCCTCTCTCTCTCTCTCCTCTCCTCCCTCTCTCTCCTCTCCTTCCCCCTCTCTCTCCTCTCCTTCCCCCTCTCTCTCCTCTCCTTCCCCCCTCTCTCCTCTCCTTCCCCTCTCTCTCCTCTCCTCCCCCTCTCTCCTCTCCTCCCCCCCTCTTCTCTCTCCTCTCCTCTCCTTCCTTCTCTCTCTCTCCTTCTCCTCTCACTTAATCCTCCCTCTTACATTGTAATCTCTAATGAGCAGGGCCCTCTGATTCCTCCTGTATTGAATTGTATTGTAACTGTACTGACTGCTCTCAGGTTGTGAAGTGCAGCACAAACTGTTGGGCTATATAAATCCTGTATAATAATAATATAGGTAATCTTGTTAGACTGAGTATACAGCTCAATGTAGCAAGCATGCCTTCTATGTCCAGATGATATAACATAAACAATGTTTGTCTTCATTTCAGTTCATCATTGCCCTCTCGTTACTCTGTATACCTTGGGGCATACAGACTGGACAGCCCAACTGCCAATGAAGTGGGGGTGAGAGTGATCAAGATCATTGTTAGTTCCAAGTTCAGTGGCATGGGAAGCAGTGGAGACATCGCTTTGCTGGGACTGGCAAATCCCATCACCTTCACCCAGTTCATTCAACCCATCTGTATCCCGCAGGCGTCTATGGTCTTCTCTCCGGGAACAAATTGTTGGGTCACCGGCTGGGGAGACACAAAGTATGGAGGTAAAAATAATTCTATGTTCTTGTACAATGCATCTAGCCAAGTCTGAGACAAGAAAGAATCCAAAACTGTGTTATACTTGACATGTCTTAAGCTGGCCATGGATAGAATTTTAAACAAAAATTCTTAAATGTTTTAGGAATATTTGTCCAAAATTCTCAGAATGATAAGGGATGAGGGATAAAACCCTGCAGTTGAGTCACAGTTTTACTGCCCCCAATCCCTACCCCTTTTAGCTGCTGAGGCAGCAGCCAAAGATGTACACATGCCGCAGCAGGAATTACCCCCCTGTTGCTTTTTGATGGGCACTATCGCCTGTCAATCGAGACCTATTCAAGTAAATGGGGCCATTCTGCAAAGTGCCCCGCAACGTCATGCTTCTGCGGGGTCCAAGGGGTTAGAGAATGAGATGAGAACACTGTCTACTTTAACACCTTGTTTGCTGCACTGCACAAGGTTGCAGGGCACTTGCAGAGTGGCCTCATTCACTTGAATGGGTCATACATAGCAGGGGCTACACACACCAACCATGACAGGGCGTAGGAGCCGGCACTACAGAGGAGACTTCGGCTTATGTTCCTCTTGCTCCCTACTACAGCTCCAACTTTACAAGTAGTCCCTCTGTATTGCACTCTGTTTGATGCTCTGGGATGGAGGGTCAGCCCTGACCATGATCTACCAGTCACCTGGCCGATATCTACTGGTAGATCACAATCTACTGGTTGCTGACCCCCGATCTAGAGTGTTCCCAGGCAGGTGGCACTTGTATGAAGACCTCCTTAGGTAATGCCTGATGAAAGCAATGGGCGGGCTGTTGGGAAGAGTTAAGTGAATACCAAAATCCCTTGATAAGTCTGGAAGAGTTCCTAGACAAGCTGTGTTTGCATGTAGTCCACCCCAGTTAATGCCCACGTGTGATGCTGAGCCTCCGTGATTGAAAGAGACAGTGAATGAAGGGATGGGTCAGGTCCAGGGGTGGACTGACCATTTGGAAACTTGGGCACTGCCCGAGGGCCCGGGGTCAGTAGGGGGCCCCATGAGATGCCCCTGGTACATTTTTCATAGGCTTTTTTGAGTTTGGGAAAGGACACAGGGCCCCATGATCCCCTATTGCCCGGGGGCCCCATGAGTTGTCAGTCCGCCCCTGGTCAGGTCAGAAACAGTCAGGTTGACGAGGGAAGGGCTAGATGATGTGTGAGAGGTCTTCTAGCTAGGAAAAAAGGTGGGATCTATCTGACTTGGCTCCAGTGAATGAACAGGTGTGCCAAGGACAGTCAGGCTGAGGTAGAAGGAGCTAGATGATGCTGAATGTTCTCCAGTCGTGAAGTGACTGATCTAGCTGACTTGCTGCAGCTTCTACTGCACATTGTGAGAAGCTCCCAGTGTGCAGTGAAATCAAGAGTAAGGCCCCTTTTAGACGGGGCAGATTAGTCAGCGTGATCCACCTGCTCAGCGGGGGATCTCTCCACTGGTCCCTGCTGAGCATCTGGATGACAGGTCTCTGTCCGCTCTGCTGCTGAAGAGCAGATACAGAAACTGCTCGCTGATTTCAATGGGACAGTCAGATGGAAATGGACCACCTGGTGGTTTCCACCTGATTGTCATCTGATCGGCCCGATCTGTTTTTGGCGTACAGGATCAGGTCAGATGTCGGTGGGTGTCAGTGGACTCTTGTCTGCTGTCACCCGCCAGTCCATAGAAGTCTATGGATCGATAAAAAACTGAGAGGGGGACCCCATCGGTCTGCTCGTGTGAAAGGGGCCAAAGTGATTTCAGTCCAGGAGAGGAGATGGTACAACTGTGCAAGACCAGAGGTCAGCTTTAAGCCCACATTTTATGAACTGCCCCTTTCTCTCAGGAAGGTTACTAGCCCTAATAATGTAGTTATTCCTGCCGCCTGTTCTAGTTTCTGGATGTGCTGATGCAGAGAACACTTCATTCACACCTCCCTTTGGAGCAATTAGCCTCAAAGATAATCTAAATAGTTCTGATGACTCCTACAATGTGACTGCCTGTTCGTCCAGGCTCACTTTCCAGTCCGGTGACTATTGCCATTGCTGCCATTCCAGTTACCTGTAAATGTATGTCATTGGGAACAAAACAATCTGTACATCCCTGCACCCTGTGCAAAGTCTCCCATTGATCTCTGTAAAAACACTGCTGAGAAATGCCAGAAATCCAGTGAGCTCCATACGTCCTGTTTTGAGCTGACAACATGGTATCATTGCTACACTGAAATCCCAACCTGTGTTGTCTCCCTCTCTGGCTCGTCCTTCTCCATACCACACCTACAATCATCACCTTACTGGCATTCTGTGCTCCCCTACATGACTTGATAGACCCCCCATCATCCTTCCTGAAGAAAGGGGGTGCTGTGACAACACTCAGTTGGTTAACTGGTATCGGCATAGAAGAGACCACATGTCACCAGCACACAATGGATGCAACATTTTGAGACTTGGTAGGACCTCTTCAATAAAGGGGTCCAGCATGGTGTCATAAATTACACATAATAAAAAGTGCATTTATAAATGAAATGCACAGCTATTTGTCCTGATAAGCTGCATATACATTTACTCTATGTGAATGCCAGCTAAATCAAATATTACTAGGCTATTTTCTCTCCAGGTCGAATGTCCCCCCTTCTTAACCATTTCAATACCGTGCAATTTTCCCCCTTCCTGCCCAGGCCATTTTTCACGTTTCAGCGCTCTCACACTTTGAATGACAATTGCGCGGTCATACAACATTGTACCCAAACTAAAATTTTAGCATTTTCTTCACACAACTAGAGCTTTCTTTTGGTGGTATTTAATCACCGCTGGGGTTTTTATTTTTTGCTAAATTAACAAAAAAATACCAAAAATTTTGAAAAAAAAACACGTTTTTCTTTGTTTCTGTTATAAAAAGTTTACAAATAAATAATTGTTCTTCATAAATTTAGGCCGAGATGTATTCTGCTACATGTCTTTGGTGAAAATAACCCAAATTAGGATGTATTATTTAGTTTGTGAGGAAAGTTATAGAGTTCACAAACTATGGTATAGATCTGATTATTGATCAATCCTGAAGTTTGACAGCCAATCTAATTTCTTGAGGTCCAAGAATGTCAGAACAGTACAGATATCCCCCAAATGTCAGAACAGTACAGATATCCCCCAAATGTCAGAATGGTACAGATATCCCCCAAATGTCAGGACAGTACAGATATCCCCCAAATGTCAGAACAGTACAGATATCCCCCAAATGTCAGGACAGTACAGATATCCCCCAAATGTCAGAACAGTACAGATATCCCCCAAATGTCAGGACAGTACAGATATCCCCCAAATGACCCCTTTTTGCAGAGTAGACAGTCCGACGTACTTCATAAGAGGCATGGCGAGTTTTTTGAAGTTGTATTTTTTTTGTCATCATTTTTCGGAAAATGAAAAAATTAAAAAAATTATTTTCACAATTTTTTTTTACATACTGTCACCAGTGCAGTACAGCGTCATCATCATATAACTGGCATGGCGGTGAACAGGGACACTGACTGGTGACAGTATGAAAAAAAAAAATATATACTGTAAAATATTTTTTTTAAAAAATTTTAAAACTTTTTTTTATATTTTTTTTAACTTTTTTTTTCATATTTTACTATGACCAAAGTAGTACAATGTTACCATAGTAACATTGTACTACTTTGGGGAAGTGATCAGTATTTTTTTTTTTTTTTTTTTTTACACAATTTGCTTATAGCAAAGAAATACTTTGCTATAAACAAGCATTTACCTGAATGAAATCGATTCATTCCGCTTTTTTTTTTTTTTTGCTGCTTAGCTGGGATTTGGTCACAGCTAATCACATGACATGTGCATGTGATTAGCTGTGACCATTCACAGCTAGGCACTAGTATACAATGGATGGCATCATGAATGAAGCCATCCATTGTATACAACTGTCATGTGACCTGCTGTGATTGGTCACAGCAGGTCACATGGTACCTGCAACGGGGGCCGGTACTCATATCTGTCATCGGCCGTGTCCGAGGTACACGGCCGGTGACAGATCGAGCCGCTGCGCCGCTCTGCATTAGCGCAAACGGCGCATGTGCGGGAGCACGCCAAATGGCATGCACCCGGAGTGCAGAAGCAGTTTTGAAGCCGCCAAACGGCCATTGGCCGGCGCGGCTAATGGTTAAGGATGGCGTGAATTGGAAAAAAATTCCCAATTATGGCCACTAGATGGAGCTGATGATGATGATAAAAATAAGTAAGTACCTATTTAATAAGATTGTCAGCTCCATCTACTGACCATAATGCAGAAAAAGAATTAAATGTCTTTAGGCTATTTTCTCTCCAGGTCAGATGTTCTTCTTCATAAGGATAGCGTGGATTGGAAAAATACCCAATTATGGCCACTAGATGGAGTTAATGATGATAGAAAATAAGTAACTAGTTAATATACTTGTCACCTTCATCTATTGACCATAATGCAGAAAATAATTTAAGGTTATTAGGCTATTTTCTCTCCAGGTCAGATGTTCTTCCTTCATAAGAATAGCATGAATTAGAGAAATTCCCAATTATGGCGACTAAATAGAGCTGATAATGATAGAAAATAAGTACCTAATTAATACGATCATCAGCTCCATCTAGTGACCACAATGCAGAAAATAATTAAATGTTGTCAGGCTATTTTCTCTCCAGGTCAGATGTTCTTCCTTCATAAGGATAGCATGATTTATATGCGGTGCATGGTACCGCTACCCATTCACACAAAAAAAAAAAAAGTTTAGTGTAAAAAAAAGACAGAAGACAATCTTTGACTTTTCCTTTTGTTAAAAATAAAAGTAAAAAAAAGTCCCCCAAAGTAGATCCAACGTCAATCACAATGCCCGCCGCTGCCGCTACCCAAAATATGAAAAAAAAACTGCTCCATCGCAACGCAGGCTAATGGCCATCTGACAGCTGCTCCCCCGATGACCGTTCTTAAATACTGTCATGATGTCACAAGGGGTCGGGTGTTAACCCCGCCCCCTTGTGACATCATTCTAGGCTGTGATTG